CGCGGATCCCCTTGCCGGGTCAGAGGCTGGCCCGTCCGCTACCGCTGCTGTTCCGTCTGCTCCGCCTGCGGTACCTGGCCCCCTGGCTCCCCTTGTCGAACCGTCGGCATCCGCCCATGCTGGGGGTGTTGCTGAGCCCCCTGCACCTGTCCCTGGCGCCCCTGTTGCGCCGACCGCTTCTGTCCCCTGCTTGCCTGCGCAGGCCTCTGCTTCGTCACCAAAGGCGGCGTCCGCCACCACTGGCAAACCGGCTCCGTCGGTTGCGCCTGCGGTGGCGGGTCAGTCCGCCCCCGCTGTGACGGCGATGGCTCCTGCAGGCCAGCCGTCACGCCCTCCGTCGCCTGACCGTTGCTCTTCGCGCACCCATTCCCCCGCTCCTCACCAGGACCGCAAGTCGTCTCGTCGCCGGCGTGAGTCTCCATGGCGGTACTAGCAACAGTCACACTGGCTTGCTCACCTCGGGGGTCAGGGGGATTGGAGGGGTCCCCGTGCTTGTGGCGGGGGTGGGGGGTATCGCCCGCCCGTGACGATGGCGGATCTTCAGCGGGAAGTGTCGAGGGCGGTTCGGGAGGAGAGGGCGGCGTAGAGCCAGAGCAGTTTGCTGCGCGCCTTGCCAGCCCACAAGGCTCCTCGTCCGGCTGCGCTCCCCCCGAACCCGCAGCCTGTTGCTGCGCCTCCCCCTCAGATCCAAGCGCTGCCAGCTCCTTCTCCCGCTGTATCGGCACCTGCTCCCGGCTGTCGTCTCCATCTGCCGCCGGTTCTGCCCGTTGCGAGAGTGGAGTTTGTGGCCGCGGGTGGCGGCTCGTTGGCGGCTCCGTTTGCTCTCCCAGCTGATACTGATTAGCCGCTCCAGTTCCTGGCGGAGGCACTCCAGCCTCCGCAGACCCGTGTTCCCGAGGCAACTCTCGGACAGCTACACCGCCTCGCTGACAGTCTCCACGCTCTGCTGCTGATTCAGGTGCTGGCCCACTCGTCTCTCCCTATGATCCCTCCTGAGACATTCCGTGGCCGCCAGCGTGACTCTTGCCTGGACGCGGCGGACCAGCTCGCGGTGCTGCTGGCGCCCGTGCTGGCTGCGCCCGCGGAGGGTGGCGCTGCTGCTGCGGGACAGCTTGACGAAGCCGTCCGGGGCTTGAGGCAGCACTTGCGCGGAGGATCTGGAGCCGCGGCGATCGGCGCAAGCACGCTAGTGGTCCGGGAGCTGTGGCGCTCCCTGACGGGCATTCTTCACGCCCTTGGAACTCACCGCATATAGATGCGGGCTCCGGTTGCCCCATGTTTGATTTATTTGTCTAGGTTGCCGTAGGAAGAGCCATGCTTGTAATGCTGTTGTTTATGAGCAACTGTTAGTATTGCCACTTGCCGTCCCCTCAAGCGCGGCCGAAGGCCGCGCTGTCGAGCGTCGGCCGCCTTCGGCGGCCGGCGCGATCAAAATTTTCCGCACCAGCCGAACAATGAGGTGAAGGGGCCCAGAGGGGCCTCTTACATAGCTCACAAGGAGAGGGCAGAGGGCTAAAGGGAGAGGGTAGAGGCTAGTATCCTCTCTCTCTCTCTCTCTCTCTCTCTCTCTCTCTCTCTCTCTCTCTCTCTCTCATGGTCTGTACATTGATATGGCAGAAAGGTACACACATACAGGTTCAGAATCATGCAAGTTCCAGCCTAATCCCTCTAGAGTTCCACCAGTGGCTCCAAAACACCAAAACAATCCCCTAGGTGTAGTTCATGTCCAATCCCCCCCACCGGGGGGTTCTCAGCTGCTGCCGCCTCACCCAATTTCATGAGGAGGCCCACCGACTGTGCTCTCTGAAGAGCAACTGACCACCGCTGCCTGAACTGATGTAGAAACTTAGCGTCATGATATGAGTTAGAATCGGCGTTGAAGTGGCGCCGAGCCGCCGTGTCTGCTAGAAGTTTAAGGAAGATGGGGACCTCTGCACATGGGCAACCATAGGTCTCCACTGCCAGTGGAAAGAAGCCGACTGTCTCAGGTCTATTCGCATAGTGTTGAATCTTCTTGTCTGCCTGCTCTCTGGCTGCCCATCCCCTGCCTTTCAGCGCCTCTGGGTCCCGAGTGCTGATGGGGTCTGTCACAGTTACATCACACACCCAAACCGCTCCGCTGCTCCTGTCGGTCATAGTGAAATCGGCCGTCTGCTCCTCGATGGGACAATGGGCTGCCGACTCGCTGTGGACTATGAAACCCGCATCCTGCGCCATACTGATGCAAGCATCCCGGAGCTCGTTGTGGGTGTTGATGCGATGCTTGCCGGTGCCGCATCGAAGGAGGTGGTTTGGGAGACGGGGATCTGTAATTTCGGTGTGGTCCGAGCAGTCACAGTTTTTGGGGGTGGAGAAGGGCAACCCAAGCCTGAATCGGACGGCATTGGCAAAGTGTGCCGGTCCTATGCGCCTCGTCGCCTCGATAGGTATCGCCGTCAGCCAGTCCCTCGTGCCATAGCCCGTTAGAGAAAACATCCGCTGCGTATGGCCCGCAAGCGGATTCAGCTCCATGTCTCTCGTCGCCTGTGCTTGCACAGCGTAGCGGCTACCGTGGACTTGTAGGGCGAGGGCATGCTGCAGCTTGACATCCGTCCGCTTAATTCGTTCCCGGTCTAGCAGCTCTCACGCGTCAGAAGGCAGGGCGGTTTCGCATTCGGCGAGCCAGGAGTGAAGCGGTTTGCTCTCGTCCCTAGGCAGGAGCATATGGCGGCGCGCGTGAGATAGTGCGGAGTCCGGGTCTAGCACGAGCGCGGAGAAGAGCAGCGCCGCCTGCGTGAAGCTCGCGACGAAACCGTAAACTCCCTCGACGAGGGGGTCTGTAATGCCTATTCCACCAAGAGAGGGGGGCAGGGACGCCTGAGCCCAGACACGTGACTGCTTTGCTCTGCCCGCCGGAGCGCGAATGTTGCACGAGGTGAGTAGTGCCAAGAGGAGGTCATGGCCCCACTCAGTCCATGTATCCCGGGAGACGAGATTGAGGGGGGTTGTTCGGGTGAGATACGCCACGCGCCGGGAGATGCAGCGCGTGATCAGCAGCGAGGCGACCTGTGGGTCGGCCTGCTCGATGAGTGGTAATGGTTTCGCCAAGTCCCTCAGCTGCCCCGCCAAGAACGTGGCTGCCCCGTCGGCCGCCCCTAGGAAACTTCCCAACAGACGGACGCCGTCCCTGCAGAACGGCACCCCTTGAGGCAGTTCAGGTGAATCGCCCGCGGCAGCGCTCCATGCGGTACACTTTTGAGGGTTATGTTTTAAACCCAGTAATTCCAACCTCGTGGTGAAGTGGGTGAAGGCAGCTACAGTTGCACGTGGTTCACCCACAAATGTCACGTCGTCTACATACGCCAAGCAAAGCACCTCAGGGTGTGCTGCTGCAGTGTCGCGAAGTGTGGGGTGGATTCCCACCGCAAAAAGGAGTGGGCCCAGTGGATCGCCCTGGCGAACGCCTCGTTCACTTCGCAGGGGCTCGCTCGCAAAATTCGAATCCAGGTAGAGCCGCGATGGGTTACCGTAAGTCAGGCGAACCAGTGGAAGCAGCGGCGACAGGGTTGGTTCTTGTAACGCTGCTGCGATGGATTGTCGCGAAATGCTGTTGAAAGCGTTCGCAATGTCGGTCTGCAGTACCAGGCTGTTGGGGTGGCCGTCCACGTACGTTCGGGCGGCATGAATTATCGCTTCCGCCCCTCCTGGCACCGCCACGCCGAACTGTAGGGGTAGGAAGTGTTCACGTGCAGCTTCGCCCATGACCAACAGCGCAGCCTTGGCAGCCAGGCGCGTCAGGCATTCGCCGATCGCGATTGGTCGGGCACCTCCTCCAGGTTTGGCCAGGGCGATGAGTCGAGATGCTGTCAGCAGGTTCGCTACCGAGGCTGGGAGGTTTCCACCCAGAATTGTGTTTACTAGGGCGTGCAGATGGGTGCAGACGGATGCATTGATTATTGCCGCGTCGCGGAGATGCTCAAATGTGGTGCCTGATGGTCCGACCCCCACGCCATTATCGCATCGCCCAAGAAGCTTCGCAAATTCAGCGTGTGAAATGCCTAGGGGACGGGTGTCGGTTGCTTGCCAGGTCAGCGACTCCGTCCCTGCTGGCGGGTGTTTCTGTCGGAGTTCGGCCAGGATTTCTGCACTTGGCGTGCAGACGGGTGTTGACTCGAGCGCCAGCACGGCTCGGCGCAGACTGCCACGTTTGGCCAGCCCCTCCGCTCGACTCAATACACCTGTCACGTCGGGTTGGTGACGCGGGGGTGGAGGGGTGTTAACCGCGTTTACTGCATCTTTGTAGAGCTGCGTCCACTCGCCACGCTGGAAAGCCCGGAGCCGGGCCTTGATTTGCGGCCAGTTTGGGTGCTTTGGCGAAGCTTGGCGAAGGGTTAGACGCGGGAGGAAAAGAAGTAGTCGCCAGTCGGCCTCGGAATCTGGGTTTCGCGAGAGGTGGTGTAGGGGTGTCAGGAGTGCCAGCGAAAATAGCTGGCACAAGTTCGGTGGTAATCGTCTTGACAGTGGCGGTTGTCGACTGTCGCAGAGGGCGGATATATTCCAGTTCGCGATGTCAGCGAACATGTCGCTCCTCTCTGCCAACTCCTCTGGCGAAAAATACTGGGGCAGCTGCGGGTTCGCGACTGACGCATGGCGAAATGACGCGGTCCGATTTCTTCGAGCGCGGCTCGATCTCGCTGATTGCTGCCGAGTTGGATTCCCAGCCGTTCGATCATCAACGGACGGCCCTACTTGCACCTCCGTTTCTGCCATGGGTAAATTGGCTGCACCTGGTCCTCTCCTTCCCGTTCCTACCCTTGTTAACTCTGCTCCATCCCCTTCTTCGTTTTCACTCTCTGGCTGTTCTTCCACGGTATAAGAGGGGTCATTTCTCTCCTCGACTTCATTAGCTGCAACCAGTGCCATTAAAGCCCGACGCCCTGCTGCCTGATACCCGTTCTCCGGTCCTCCGCCTGCTCCGCTAACTGTCTGGCTCCTCTCTCCCTGAGCCCCTCGTCCACGCG